AGAGAAGGGCGTGGAAGAGGATAGAAAGAAGAAAGTTTTGAAGTTTGAGAGGTGAAGAGAAGAGAGGAAGAGTAAGTAAGAACAGTGGCCATGGATGTTGTGTTAAGCGAGAACCAGCAGTTTGTGATTCTTGAAGATAAAGGTCTTTTGGGCTGGAATGAATTGGCCTTTCCAACTAACCTTTCAATTTAGAGAAATGACTCCTACACAGTCCCAGTTACACAGAGCCTGTACAGGGCATCTCACATGGGGGTGGACCCCACATGTGTGTGCCTGTACAGGTGCAGGTAGTATTTCTCTTCAATCTACTGTTACCTTCCCGATAATTTAAGAGTGCGAAAATAAAAAATTTCTTCGCAAGTAAATTTATTTTTCACACATTACGTTTAGTCAAAATATGCCTTTTGGACACTAGCCAACAAAAAGTGGCTGTCGTTTAGTGATAAGAATTCCACGTTGTGGCCCTGGGGACTTGGGCTCGTATCCCAGCAGCCACATATTTTTGGATCATATCTAAGTTTTTAGTTTGATGCACATTACACAATCTCATGAGCCATAAAGCGTGTTGCCAACTAAACACTCTCCTGCCTCTCACTCTAATTCACGGAATCCTCATTAATAGACACAGTATTCCAATTGAATTGATGTTATTCGCTCTGAATTCGTGCTTTTGGTACTCTCCAGTGGCGAAATTTCAATGTTCAACCATTTTTTGCACAATTCACACAAGTCAGTCCATGTTCATTCCTTGTAAAGCACCTCCCTCAACACCTAAATAACACGAGACACAAGCTCGGAGAGTGATCTTACCTTGAGCTTCCGTGGGTTATATGGAGCATTATCATCTACGACTCATGTTCCTGAACAATGCACATAACAGTTGTCTTCTATCAGATTTTCATGCCGGTTCTGTAAATAATTGTTCAGAATTACGAAGCAACATGAAAGAGCCCAGAAATTCAATAAAAACTGACAAAAATGCATCTTCGGTCATCAAATACAAGCACAACTATTCGTAAATAAACCTCAAACCCAGGAATCTAACAAGAAATTGTCAGATTCAGCATTATATTTCTGAGAAAAAGAACATTCATTCTTCTCATCAACCCATGAATTCTATTCAATAGTACATAGTACCATTACATAGTTTGCAAAACATTCAAAAAGAGAAGACATAGAGTTATTACTACAAAGATTTGCTCATCCAGAAAATGAAACCTCAAGGATTTAAGTTTGAAGGCTACCTAAACTACCGTTGTAGTAACAAAAAGTACTAAGCAACATCAAGACTTAGTCTTTTTCTCTTTGTGACTGTACTTCCTTTGCTTAACAGATTTCTTAAGATCATCAACAGCATCAGGAGCAGCGACAGCAGTCAGAGAGCTGCAATTTCCCGCCATCATTTGAGGTAATAAATTTGCTGTGTGTTCAGTTGCCTTTCCTGAGTTGTTGATCAAAATCACGTCCTCTGGACTAGCCATAACATCCTTCATCTTCTCATACTGTAATTGATGACATTGATAACTCCCAACATTATGAATAAAAAATACTGAAGTTTATGCCCCCGTTTGACAACCATTTTTTCGGAAGAATGAGTTTTTGAATGGTAAATTTTTGGAGATTGTGTGGTTAAAAAGTAGGAAAAAGGTTTAGATTTACATGGAGAATATTTTATTGAGAGAATATAAGATTGAAAATGAGCATGAGAAAAAATAGTTCTAAAATAATGGTTGTCAAATAGGGGCTAAATAAACATTAGTAAAACAATATAAGTACTAGAATGAAATCAGAAAACATAAGTTATATCTGAAACATTAAATACAGAAGCATAATTCTGAAATACAAGTGTAACCTTGAATCTGTCAATTGAAATGGAGGATTCACCGGATAAAACTTGAGTAAGATAATTAAACAATTATGACTCAAAACACCAAATTCATTAAAGAAATGATGAATCAGAGGCTTTAAATAAATTGCTTAGAACATTTTATTTGTGCTTACTATTCAGTGGAGACCTTTCCTCCAATGTATGCAGAAGACATGTAATGCAAAAAGACAGCAAGAATCGGACATTATTCAAAACGGGAAAAAATAAAAAATAAATTAAAAAAGAAGGATAATAACTTGGGACAAAGCTTTGCCCCATGAATGACTACTTGAAGGTTATTAGTCTGACCAAAACGATCCGAAATTCAAGTCATATATTTTCTTTTCTAAGCGGTTAAACAACACAATCACAAAAATCTTCCAAATATCACCATGACCGACTTTTCTTACAGTTACATTAACAGGCAAATGACCAGAAATAACAAGATGAAACAACATATTTAACATATAAGATCTAGTTAAGGAGTACCACTTCAATCTTTCCACGACAAAATTCCAAATTCTTGACTAGCCGTAAATTTTCCTCCAATAAGAAATCAATCTACACATTAAAAGAAGATGGTCAAAATAGGAACAGACCAGATTTATCTTCGGTAGAAACTTCAAATTATCATCACCTTCTTTTGTGAGTCAAAGTATAATCTTTTGTAGTTCACACTAGCAGAGGGGCACTTAATTGGTCTTTCAGTAACCTGTTTACCGTTCTGATTATGCACATAAATTCATCAAAAAGATAAGAGTATTGTCATGTTGGATAATTTGAATTAAACAATATTAGGAAAATATTCTGATTTTTATTTTTATTTTTTGGGTATTGTCCAATACGGAGTAAAGCATTACAGTTAGAAAGGGAAAGCAACCTCAGAGTCATATTCATCAATAGATCGAACAATATGGTCAGCATTTTCTTCCACACTTCTTTCAACCATGATTGGCATAGCACTAACTTGCTGAACATTTGGCTCTTCTTCTTCTTCTTCATTGTCGACGAGATCTACATGCTGGGCAACAGGAACAGGGACTTGGCTCTGAATAGGTTTTACAGAACTCATAAGACGGCTGGATCGCCTGAGAACTGCTTTTGGAGTCTCTGATTGTTTTTTCTTTGAACATAAGGCATTAGAATGTAAAGGCACCGTGTCCTCGGCAGTTATAGGATCTGAAGCATTTTCGCTGTTAGTATGCAAATGCATTTCCTTCTCAGTATTTGCCATCTCTAAAAATGCATTGGATGTTTTATCCTGTTAATAAAAATAAAACATCAGATCAATCAAATTTCTGCTTAATAGATTTACAGAAAGTGACTTGCAGTTTAATGATAGCACATACTATACTTGTAATTAAGCAACGGTTTTCAAATCTCGTCAATATCAGGTCAAAATATGTTTTTGAACTATACATGAACAGCTTACAGAACAAATATATGAAGTGACATTACTCAATCAAGCTTTAAGCCTTTAACACGTGTGCATCCTGCTCTTTTATCAAGAAGTCTCCAGAACTAAACCGTGAAAGTTTGTATCCTTTCGATTACTTCACTCAATATAATTCAATCTCTTTTATGTTTACGATTAAAACTAGCTCAACACCATTCCTAGTCTTCGCACACACACCATAAAATAGGATGAAATCATAATAGGCAAACGCATTCCCTCCAAGAAATTCTCCAAGAACCCCACTGATCAGTACTACTTAAATTTGACAATGCTCGTATTCATGTGCAAACTAATAAATACCCTGTTGCACTAAATGCCTCTAACTAAGGCAAGAGATAATTCATTTCTTAATTTGAATATATGCATGAAAAAGTCCACCAAAGTTAAATCAAAGTAACGGCAATGGCAAGAAGATATTCACATCTTCAATCTCCTCATAACTTTCCTTACTTCCAAGACCTATATTATAAGAACAATGGACTTCTTTCAAAAATCCCTAAAACCCATGCTATATCTTATATTAAATGATTCGTAAATTTTGTACAGTATTCTATCCCATACCCAGAAAGAGGACACTGTAGGGAAAAAAAAAAAAAAANACTGAAACAAAAAGAACAGAAGGAAAAAAAAATCCCAGAAAAAGAATAAGATCGAAAAATAAAAAGTTACTGGAGGCGAAGGGTCATAGGGTTTGGGGGATTTTTAAGAAAGGCCTGGTCTTTCGAAACATTTTGAGACCTTACTCACTCCAAATCAGTTTTTAAAGCCTCTTTTATGCTAAAATGTCTAAATTATTCTTTTCTATATTGTTGACAAGTCCTAAATGTCCTTTACATAATTAACTATAATATTCTTTCTATAACATTTTCAGAAAAAATGAACGACGAAAATTGACTCTAGTTGATTTAAACGACTACAGTCATTTATTTCTCAAAACGACTCTAGTCATCCAAAACAACTCCAGTCGATTTATGAGAAAAATGACTGCAATCGTTTACAACGACTCTAGACGACTAGAGTCATTTTTCATTTTATAAAAGCCTCTTGTTGTGATTTGTATGGTCGCAACCAACTTAAAGCAAATAGAAAATCCATTTAGATTACAATCAGAAACTTTTTTTAAAAGAAAAATGACTTTTTTCATTTTAAACCGTTGAAATCGTTTTTCATTTATCACTTTCAAGTTTGAATGATATCTCACCTTTTATTATCCGTAATAGTTTAACTTATTCAAAATTAATTGTAAGTCATGTACTTAAAATTGAATACAATATACTTGAACAATATGCAGTGGAGCACGATAAATTGTATATGATGAACTTCATCTTCCACTACATTTTTAAACGAAATAGATTGAAATCAAATATGGTTTAAAAGATTCCTTATTTGATTAGTCTCTCGTTTTTCATTATACATGAACTTACTAAAGTCAATTGTAAGTCGTACGCTTAAATACTGATATTGTATGCTTGATCAATGTGTAATGGAGTAAAGTGATGAGTTTCCCTTCCTATATGTTTTTAAATGAAATATGTTGAAATCAAGCATATACTAAAATGTTTGAAGTTTGAAAGACATGTTTTCTTTCATTATAAATGATAGTTTAACTTGTTCAAAATCAATTGCAAGTCATGTAACTCAAAATCGAATATGGTATACTTGAACTGTGTGCAGTGAAGCACAATGAATTGTATAAAAAGATGCTCATTTTCCTACACTTCTTTTTAAATGAAATAAGTTGAAATCTAACACAATCTGAAAGTTTAGAAGTTTAACTAACATATTATCTTTCATTATACATGATGATTTAATTTATCAAAATCAAAATATAAGTCGTATGCATAAAAATCGAATGAGATATATTTGAACAGTGTGTAGTGGAGTATGACGGTGAAGTTCACCTTCCTATACGTCTTCACACGAATATGTTAAAATCAAACACAGTTTAAATTGTTAAAATTTTGAATGTCACATTTTTTATTATGAATAATGTTTTAAATAATCGAAACCAATTGTAAAATGCATACTTAAGATTGAATATGATATCCTCAAACTACTTAGTTGAGCACTATGAGTTGTAATAACAAAATTCGTCTTCCTGTACATTTTGGACGAAATAGGTTGAAATCAAATACATTCTAAAATGTTAGAATTACAATTGACTCTTTCATTATACATGATGATTTAACTTATTAAAATCAATTGTAAGTCGTATACTTAAAAATTGAATTCAGTGTACTATAACAGAGTGTAGTGGAGCACAATCCCAGATATGTTACAATGTATGCTTTATGTTATGACTTTTTTATCATAATTCATACCTAATTTGTGTTTTATGAATGTCGGATATTGATTTTCATGTTCTTTTATTTTATATAACAAATGATGAATGAAAAACGACCCACGTTGTTTAAACAATTGAAGTCGTTTTCTCTTAAAACGATTAAAGTTGTTTAAAACGATTGGAGTTGTTTTCAGTTGTAAAAAGAAAATGAAACGACTGTAATCGTTTAAAATGACTGGAGTCGTTTTACAGATTTATATCTCTTTTTTCATCATATACTAGATTTTCTATAGATTTGTTTAAAGTGAAAATATTTTGAAAGCAACCCAAACACAATTTAAAATGTTATAAATTATTTAACTTAAAAGGCTCCGTGTTTGATTGACTTCTCGTCTTCTAACTAGAGAAATATTTCGTTTATTCGAACTTGTTCACTAGCTTCTATGTTACTAATAAAAATCATATCTTTACTAACTTCTATGTTACTGATAAAAAGCTTTATTTTGGTGGTAGTAATAGAATTCAGGTTTCTCAGATCATAAATCATATTTTCAAACTTATTTCGAGCTTAAATAGCAAAAATATAATATTATTAGCGAGCACGATGAATTGTATATAATGAAGTTTATCTTCTTATTCATTTTAAACTAAAAAGTCAAAACCAAACACGATTTATAATGTTAGAAGTTTGATTCTCACCTTATACATCGTGTTTAGGAAAATGGGCACCATCATTTTTACGAAACGACAGTAGTACATCAAAAGGTCCTACAGATCATAATCAAATGTAATTAATATTCCAGTTCCTCGGACCCTAGTCCTATCATAATAATGCCTGCTCTGGATCCTTCACTATGTGAGGATCCATCCACAAAGATTTTTCAAACTTCCTCATACCCCCCGGGTTGGTCAAGCGGGCCGTAAGCTCCGCAATAAAGTCCGCCAAAGCTTGCGCTTTAAAAGCCGACCTCGGTTTGAATTCGATGTCAAATTCACTTAATTCGACTGCCCATTTTGACATCCTTCGGGCTTCCCGGATCGATGCAAAATTTGCTTGACGGGCTAATCTGCCATGACTTGTACTATATGAGATTGAAAATACATCCTTAACTTTCTGACGGCCATAATCAATGGAAATACCAACTGCTCTGCAAGGCTATACCTGGATTTTGTACCTCTCAACACTTGGCTTATGTAATGCACTGGCTTTTGTGACTTTGGAAATTATTTCACGAGCACTGCGTTGACTGCTTGCTTTGAAATGGCTAAATATAAACATAACACGTCCTGCACATGGGCTATTCACGACTGGGGACTGCTGGAGCAATTGCTTCAAGGATTCGAGGGATTCTTCACACTCCTTGGTCCATTCAAAGTTGTTTGAGCCCTCAATTACCTTGAAGAAGTGGTAGCACTTATCAGCTGCTCAACTCATGAAACAATTTAGTGCCGCTACCCGTCCCGTGAGCTGCTGGACCTCCCTTTTGCTTGAGGGGCTTTTTATCTCTAGGATAGCTCGGATCTTATTTGGATTTGCTTCGATGCCTATTTGTGAAATCATGAAACCTAGGAACTTTCCACCTGCTGTTCCAAAAACACACTTCTCAATATTGAATATCAGCCTATTCCATCGAGCCATGTCGAACACTTTCCGCAGATCAGCTACGTGATTATCAACTTTAATACTTTTGACGACCAAATCATCAACATAAGTGTCGATTATATTTCCAATCAAGTCTTTGAAGACTTTATTCACCATTCTTTCATGAGTTGCTCTAGCATTTTTCAAGCCGAATGGCATAGCTGTGAAGCAGTATGTTCCCTAGTCAATTATGAAGGATGTTTTCTCCTGGTCCGACTCGACCATAGAGATCTGGTGATACCCGGAGAAGGCATCCAGAAAACTTAGTCGTTCATGACCCGATGTGGTATCCTCCAAATGATCTATCTTAGGTAGCGGATATGAATCTTTGGGACATGCTTTGTTCAAAGCAGTGTAATCCACGCACATGCGCTATTTCCCATTCGATTTTTTCATGAGAACAACATTGGCCAACTATTCTGGGTACTGTACTTCCCTGACAAATCCTGCATGCAACAACTTTTCAACTTCTGCCTTCCCCGCAGCCTGTCGCTCCAGAGCAAGATTCTCCTTCTTTTGCCTTACAGGCTTTGTTCCCAGTGAAATACCAAGGTGGTGCTGAGTGACTGATGGACTGATCCCTGGGATATCGCTTGGGCTTCATGCAAAAACATCTAAATTATTAGACAAACACTTCACTAATTCTTCTTTTTCTTCTGGCCTTATGTTCATCCCAATGCTGAATTTACGTCTTTCCCTTATCAAAATTTTTTCTATCATGTCAAGTGGCTCAATTCGCCCCCTTGGGGGCTCAAAATCCAACGTCATAACCAGCGGTGATCCCCTTACTTATATACTATCAACATAGCACCTTCTCGAAGATTGCTGATCACCTCTCACACATCCTACGCGCTGCTAGTTGGGAACTTCATAACTTGATGATAAGTGGAAGAAATTGCACCTACGACATTTAACAGAGGTCGACCATATATTGCATTGTACGCCATGGGGGTCTTAACAACAAGGAAGTTTGATAGGATCACCACGCTTGTTGTATATGTAACCAACGTCACTGAAAGTTCTACAGCTCCCTCTGTATAATAGTGGCTCCTCCGAATCCTTGAAGGGGAGTGGAGATAGCTTTTAATTTTTCAAGAGAAATTTTCAATCCCACAAATGCTTCCCAAGTAAGGACATTTGCCTCGTTACCACCATCGATCAAAACCCTTTTTACATCAAAATCTGCTGTCACTGACGATCACCAAAGCATCATCATGGGACGTTGCCACTCCAATTAGATCTTCTTCATTGAAAGTAATATTTTGGTGAAACCTGGCCTTCTCTTGGATGGAGCAAACCCCAATAGTGCAAGCATAGTCCTTCCTAGCTGAATTAGAGTCTCCGCCTGCTGTAATTCCTCCAGTTATCACATTTATTACTCTGGCCCTAGGTGGTGGTCGATCGTCAACTTTCTATTTGCCTCGATCGTTCTTCACATACTTAGTCAAAAGTCTCCATGTCAATAGGTGCTCGATCTCCTCCTTCAAGTGGATACATTCCTCCGTATCATGTCCATGATCCCTGTGGAATTGACAATACCTGCTCTTATCTCTCTTGTTAGCGAAGGCTGCCATGGGCTTCGGCCAATTGAGCTTCTTCATGTTGCGAATTTCCATCAATACCTTAACCCGTGGAGCGTTTAGAGGGGTGAAGGTTTTTATCTCTTCTCGCCTTGTTTAATTGAGTGATTCTGTACGTACCCTCTCTTCACATGCTGGTTTTTCAACTTATTCTTATCAGCAAATTTCCTCTCCTCATGTGATTTTCGCTTGTGAGTTTCTGGTTCTTATCCTTCCCAAAGGTTTTTCGTGACCCTCTCTGCTTCCTCGACGTCTACATACTTGTCTCCCTTTTTCAACAGTTCATGCATTGACTCCGGGGAATTTTTTGAGAGTGACATCTTAAAAGCCCGATTCCACGTCCCATTCATCAATGCAATGACTACCGCTGACATCTGAAGATCCTTTATGCCCAATGTTGCCTGACTAACCTAGCCAAATAATCTTGCAATGACTCATCTTTATCTTGAACAACTTACATTAGTCCTATGGCAGTATTTCTCTTTCTCTTGCTACTCATAAAATATGTTACAAAGCTTCTGGAGAGCTCATCAAATGTTTTAATTGATCGTGGCACCAGAGTGGCTACCCAATCTCTTGCTTCTCTTCTTAGCGTCGGTGGAAAGGACCAACACATCACGACATATGGGGCTTCATACAGTCTCATCAAATCAACAAAAGTGCGTAGATGATCAAGTGGATCAGTGACTCCATCATACACTTCTATCATTGGCTGTTTGAAACCATTTGGTAGAGGGACTACAGTGATTTCTGGGGCGAACGAGTCTTCTTCCAAAACCATCCGCCTTCGCCCGTCCTTCCTCCTTGACAACATATCGTCAATCTTTTGGGACATTATTTCTTCCATCCTACGCTCCAGTCTGCCATAGGACGCGTGACCTGTATATGTGTAACTTCATGTGACCCTTGGTCGACAACGATTTTCTGAATGACTGGTGGGACAACTAAATGGTTTGCCTGGGGTTGCCCATTTATGTCTTGCAACGGTGCTTTTGGTATATTGTGGGATGGACCAGCTATTCTTGATGTCTGACTTTGCAAGAGAGTTATCACAGTGGCTAACTAGGCCTCCAGAAGGTTACATTGGCTTTGTGTCACATATTGAGGTTGAGACTGTGGATCTTGACCCTGGCGATAGACTCCGACTCTGCAGTGTTAGTAACCATACGTGTATCGCCCCTAGTTCGTCTTCTCGACATAGTTTTTATGTTTGATGAAGATTTTCCACAGACAAGTTTTGGTGTAACTTCGTAGCTCTTTTAGTGAAAGAGCAGTCTCTTGTCCTCCGTTGATCCTACAAAAAGAGGCTGGGGATGCCTCCCTTGTTTTACCTCCAACGTGAGAATCAATAATCATTTTTAGATAAGGGTTTTTAAAAAATTGTAGTAATGACAGAGGAAAGAATTTTTTCTGGAAAAAGAAAGAACCTTCTTTACCTGAAACGCTCATGGGATATTTATAGGCGTCTGGCATCACGTAATCGTTGGGCAGTCGCCATCCACGTGTCCCCATCAGTCTAGCATCACGTAACCATCGGGCAGTTGTCATCCACGTGTCCTCATAAGACCTACCTATTCCTCAGACCATTTTTTTTCCATTTATTCGGTTACCCAGGTAATGGGTTTAATGATAACCGTTTGGATGCTTGTTGACTGATTCTAATGTTGTTCGGGTAGACTACAATCGCTCCTCACGTGGTGGGGGTCGGACTAGCATAGCAATTAGAACTCTAATATGATGAGCATCATCTAACATGCCAAAACTGTCTGTACCTTACGAGCAAGAGAAGGTAGCATCGGTTGAGCTGACACTGCGGTAGTCGTCATATCATGATAGGCGCTACCCGACATAATGGGGGTCGCTCGATATAGCAGGGGTCATCCTCTCTCTACTAGTCGTCCCAATTAATTATGTGAACCACATGATATCAATATATTTGATTTGAGTAAGCTTACTGCAGTAGTCGCCTTACAACACATTTGATATGGAGGTTTGTGATTTGATGTATTAATGTGGTAGTTTTTTCTTCCCAAATATATTAAATCACTAACCGCCACACATAGGACGATTACGGTAGTGAGTGAATGCAAATAATATTATTCATTTGATATCAATTGATAGGAGAAGTACATTTAAATCCAATACTATCGATGATTAGTTCTCAGAATCCACTTCCAATCTCTATGCATTTTGAGGTCAACCTCTTACGATATAAGTTCATTTTTTATCAATAAAGGTACTCAAGCAAGACAAAAAATAGAGTGAAAATAGGGATCTAAAAAAAGTTGATGTGGCATTTGTTATTGTATACAACAGAAATTGTGCGCAGAATAATCTAGTGTACTTTCAAAGGTGCATAGGTTGGGTGAAGAATGCGTATTTGTAAAATATTTGTTGTTGAATTCAAATTTTGTTAATGTTAGGAATCTTAACGTATTTGGTGTGTGACTATGCCCCATTTTATAAAAAATGATTTCGTAGTAGTAATATTTTGAGGATGTGGTAAAAAAATAATTTTTTTAAAATTAATGTACAAAGTTATTTTACTAGTAGAATATGTTATTATAAATGAATTTGAATACAACTGAATTTTTAGAATATGGGTTCACACGGAGTGCTATTAGTTACCTGTAATTACTTTATTTTAAGTAACACATTTTTTTAGCCCTTGTTTTGTGAGAATTAAAATAGGTTTTCAGAATATTTTGTTAAAATGTATGATTAAAAGTTTTAAATTTCATGAGATATGTAGTTGAAATTAATTTATAACATTCATTTTAATCCCCATCAAACAAGGGTTTAACCATTTTTTATTTTTTTGACACCATATTTGGGAGAAAAAAATTATTCCTAAGATATAACATTTTCCCTAGTTTTTAACTTAATTATTCAATTTATATAGTATGAGCTATGATATATATTTTCTTACCATGCATATTTTATTCTAAGTGAAATTAATTATATGTTATTACAGTGCATATCTTACCTACTATAAAAGAGAGGATGAGATTTTACTGTTTATTGTTGGGGCCATTTTCACATTAGACTTGTTTCAAACCGATTCCACTTGAGAATCTATGCACTTGAAGAAAAGAGTGAATGTGGCCTTTATTGTTCATTTCTCTACCCTCGTTTTCACACCATATTCGAATACTATAATTGTTCGTCAAAATATCTATGGTATATGGATATGTGCCTTTTGTACCTTTTCTCTTTATTCTAACCCTAATCTCACTCTTTCTGTCCGGATTGTAGCAAGAAATCCCAAATAATCCGACTCTCAAAATCAGTTCCTAATTTGTGTCGAAGGAGAGGTCGAGTCAAGATTCTGAATTTTTAATACCCAATCCTTTAGTTCCCACTTCTTCTGATTGCAGGTAAGTCATTTCTTGATCAGATTGTTTCTTTTTGTTTATTGATAGTAAAAAAAGCTTTCTTTTGCTTCTTTGTGATTTTCATGATAGAATGTAACTTCACTCATGTACCAAACATTTATAATATCAACAGGTGGTGGGGAGAACTGTGATATCGAAAATGGATGAGCACCCCGTATTTGGTGTGTGACTATGCCCCATTTTATAAAAAATGATTTCGTAGTAGTAATATTTTGAGGATGTGGTAAAAAAATAATTTTTTTAAAATTAATGTACAAAGTTATTTTACTAGTAGAATATGTTATTATAAATGAATTTGAATACAACTGAATTTTTAGAATATGGGTTCACACGGAGTGCTATTAGTTACCTGTAATTACTTTATTTTAAGTAACACATTTTTTTAGCCCTTGTTTTGTGAGAATTAAAATAGGTTTTCAGAATATTTTGTTAAAATGTATGATTAAAAGTTTTAAATTTCATGAGATATGTAGTTGAAATTAATTTATAACATTCATTTTAATCCCCATCAAACAAGGGTTTAACCATTTTTTATTTTTTTGACACCATATTTGGGAGAAAAAAATTATTCCTAAGATATAACATTTTCCCTAGTTTTTAACTTAATTATTCAATTTATATAGTATGAGCTATGATATATATTTTCTTACCATGCATATTTTATTCTAAGTGAAATTAATTATATGTTATTACAGTGCATATCTTACCTACTATAAAAGAGAGGATGAGATTTTACTGTTTATTGTTGGGGCCATTTTCACATTAGACTTGTTTCAAACCGATTCCACTTGAGAATCTATGCACTTGAAGAAAAGAGTGAATGTGGCCTTTATTGTTCATTTCTCTACCCTCGTTTTCACACCATATTCGAATACTATAATTGTTCGTCAAAATATCTATGGTATATGGATATGTGCCTTTTGTACCTTTTCTCTTTATTCTAACCCTAATCTCACTCTTTCTGTCCGGATTGTAGCAAGAAATCCCAAATAATCCGACTCTCAAAATCAGTTCCTAATTTGTGTCGAAGGAGAGGTCGAGTCAAGATTCTGAATTTTTAAAACCCAATCCTTTAGTTCCCACTTCTTCTGATTGCAGGTAAGTCATTCCTTGATCAGATTGTTTCTTTTTGTTTATTGATAGTAAAAAAAGCTTTCTTTTGCTTCTTTGTGATTTTCATGATAGAATGTAACTTCACTCATGTACCAAACATTTATAATATCAACAGGTGGTGGGGAGAACTGTGATATCGAAAATGGATGAGCACCCCAAGACCGAATGAACCTATGGGCTATGAATGAGGTACCGGTTCCGTAAATCCCATCTTATTTCATCATTTTTTTTTAATCTATATGAAGTTGTCAATATTTATGTTGGGTTTGGTTCACAGCTGCTTCATTCAACGGCTTCTGCTCTACTATAGCAACCGTACGCCATACGAATGTCTCTTGGGAGGATAAGGTAAGCCCTACAAAATTGTGCAAAGGTTATTGAATTACACCCCCACTTTCTTAAGGTTTCAGTAAAAGCTGGAAAGTAAAAAACATTTTTAAGGGTCAGTTCTTCATTTGTTTCTTTGACTAACAATGCTAAATTGGGTGAAGGAAACATGAAAAGAATTTTATCGTCCTACTCTATTATATTGTCATGTAAATTTATGATATAGAGCCTGTTTGGGATTGATTTTGAGAATTAATTTTTTTACCGTTAGGAGAAAAGTGGGGTCCATCTGAGAGAGAAGAAGTCAAATATGACGACTGGAATAGTGAAATAACGGTTAAAAAATCAATTTTTTGGGGCAAAAAATCACTCCCAAACAAGCTGATAGTATCACATGTAGACATAAATTTCTATATTTGGTGAGCAGCCTAAAGTCATGGTAGTATCTAATATCTGAAAATAGGATCTTTTTCTATTCTTTTTTTCTTTTTTGGGTTTCGTGTATAATTTATGTGTTATGATATTCAGGGGGTTGAAAAAGAGTCATTGGATTGTATAAGAAGCCATAAAGGAAATGGTAATAGTGGGGAAGACAAGGTGCAGTCGAGGATAATTTTTTCTCATTTCTAAAAATAGAAAAATAGTGTGCTTTAGTTTATTTGGATGAATGAATTTACATCTTGAGTTCTTTGTTTTTACAAATAGTTAAAGCTAGACAAAGGAGGAAATATAGTCGGATCATAGTTCGAATATCTTTGAAGTTTAGACAGAATGTTAGCTTCTTAATTTTGTGGTGATTAATTGCAATGAATGTTGTTATGATGACTTTGAGTTGCAGCAGAAGACTAATATTGGTTTTTGTTTTTGCATTAGGATGGCCAACTAGAATACTTATTAGTAGTAAATATTTGTCATAACAAAAGAAAATAGGGTAAAAAAAGGGTAAGGACCTAACTTATATCTTATTTTAATAATCTCATCCATTTTTAATTTTTTTTTGAAATTTTCACAAGTGAAATAATGTCAAGTTCGAGGAATTTGTTTAAGATCTAAGTTGAATGTTTCTAGAATTGCCATTTTTAGTTGATATTCCAAAAGCACTTTTTTAACTCATAACCTTCCTGGAGTAATTTTCTCACCCTCATCCTCCTCCCGATGTTGCAGCCATCTAGGTACTAAGTCCACCATAAATTGCTGTGCAAAAAGAGTTATCAACTACAATGTTATTACAAGTTAAAGACCTTTCTTAATATTTAATTGAAATCGACTCACAATAGTTTTTTACTCTTATGCTTCTTTGACAGTCAATTATGCAATGAAGAGTTCTTAATGCTGTAATAAAGAATTTGAAAAGCTATATTTCTTGGAATCAATGATTAGTTTATCAAGCAGATCTTATTTCTTTAATGCACATCACTTTTTAATGTGATGCTTGTTGTTTTAGGATTTGTTGTATCTTATCTCATTTGTTTTCGGAATGTCTTTTGGCTCCTTGGGTTATGTCAAAAAGTTCTTTTTAATAATTGTAAGATATGTGATCCTTTTAGGGTTTGGATATATTGGGTGGTTAGTTCTTCGAATAGCAACTTTCAGGGATAATATAGATGTGTTGTCATTCGATGATTTTTTAATGATTCTAAGCATAATTATTAAACCCGGACCGGACCGGCCGGTTCAAACCGGAAACCGTTGAACCGGACCATGGTCCGGTCCGAATCACCTCAGATTTAAGGAATGCTACTGACCCAGGTAAAACCCGGATGAAAAAATTACGGAGATTCGGTTCTTCGGGTCTTGACCTAGAACCGAGAACCGAACCATACCCGTCGGTTCCTGATTCAAATACCCGTTCGGGTATTTAACTTGAGAAGAACCGTCGGGTTCGGTTCTGTTCGGTTCGGGAGTTTTGATTTGATAGACTGTAATTGCAATTAGGGTCTGATTTAACACATGGAAAGTCAGCAGATTGAAAGAAATAAATTCTAACATGTTAGTTGTAATCTGTTTACCAAAGCTATTTACTTATTTGTAAGCTGCCGTTGGTTCCTTTTTATTTAGTCCGATCAACAGTTTTAGTTATTCATGAACTTGTTTGCTTTACATAAGCAATGTAGTAATGAAACATTAGAAGCTAATTATTTGTTTAAACCATTTTGGACTTGAATTTCACATGTTCTTTATTTACGTTAACTTTTAATTGATGCTTTTACTTTTGCAAGAATATTTTTAAAGTATATGAAATTATCTTATTGAACTTTTCCGTATAACGTATATGTTTTATTATGATTGATTGTTGTGTTTATTGTTCCAAATTCATATTTCACTATATATAATCTAGAATTTGTGAAATTGGGCTACAAATTAATATTTAGTTAACAAAACAATGTGAGGTTAATTTAGTTATTGGTAAAAAATGGAATTATATTTTTTATTCAACAAAAATAGTTAATATTATTTTTGATAGGAATTGACCCGACGGTTGAACCACCGAGTCGCCGGTTGAACCATGGACCCATTGACCCACTGCATTGTCCGAGTTGACATCCGGATTGGGTCTGATAACTATGATTCTAAGTACATGGTGTGAGTATTGTTCTATGTGACCGATTGGTTATATATCTTCTTTTCCTTCTTGCCTTTCAAGAAGTTAAGTGCTCAAGATGTTTTAGAAAATGGCAAAAAAATATGTGCTCATCATTCTTTCAAGCTTATATGTTTGAGTATGACTCTACTCATGGACCCTATAAGGGAATCATCAATGTTGTAGATGAATCCATGCTCCCATTTGGCCCCCCATTAAATTAAATTTTATTTTTCTCTCTCCTATTTTTAATCACACAAGTTTTCATAAAATAATATTACTCGTAAATTGAAATTTTTTTCCTCCTTTTTCAACCACTCATTTTCAAAAGAAACCTATCCACCCATTTTAATTTGAAAAAATGGGGACCAAACATGAGCTATTTTTGAAAACAATGGAAGAACATTAAATTTAGTAGCAAAACGTATCACCATAATTTCGAATCAGAAGTTTGATAATTTTTCTTTACTAGCATACTGATTGATACTAGATATATATATTTGAGTCTTTTGTCTGCCTGTTCTAATTCAAAATCCCCTGTATAGAGACCTAACAGAGATTCCTTAGGGGTGATTATGGGGTTAACTATCTTCTGGCATTTTTACTACTATTGACATGGCCTCAACACATAAAAACGCCTGTCGTTTCATCTCCTCTGATATGTTATGAATAACTGTCAAATTTAACACCATTGATCTTTTTCTACAAGGTGGTACTAAGAAGGTTTTAATATCAGCTCCATCGGAGTACACGAGAAAACCTACAAGCCAAGCAGGGGAATTTGTTTCCAATGCTAGCTGTACCACCCTTGCCCCTTTTGCTCAGATTGGATTGCATTCTCTAATTTCAAGAACCACAGTTAATTTCACTTATCAAATAGACAAAAAAATATTTTAAGATTATCTTTTTCTTATAGGTGCATGCTCTTCTTCAATGGATTCTTTTAAATTATTTAATCTTCTTTTCTTTTTAAAACCAGTGTAGGAAGATTACTATATTCGTTAAGCCTGTTTTCCATTAATCTGCAAATTTATGTAATATCTAATGATAGTTGTTGATTGAATTTATAGGCTGCTGTAAAAGTACTACTTGAACTCTTTTCATGTCCCAACCCCTAATGTCTCTGTTGTAGACCTAACTTGTCGACTTGAGAAGAGTGCTTCTTTACGACAAAAGATGAATAGTTCGAAGATTGGCTCTTCACTTTGCAGGTTAGAGTCAAACTTTGGTGTAGCAATATCATCTGTAGATAATATTTTGCAAGTGTTGACGATCTACCAACTGTTCCATATTGGATTCATATAGGAGTTTCTTTTTTAAAATATTCTTTTTGAAATTTTTCTTAAGCTTGTATTAGTACTTGAATCCACTAAAATCCCATTTATGGTAGTTCAAAAGTTTCATTATGATGTTATTGAGTACCAATTTAATGACATAGCTATTTATTTTGCTTTTTATAAAATGGAAGAAGTTTATGCATACCTTAAACAAAACATTGTTTCTAATGTGATTATGTGGATGGTGGAAATAAGATTGAGCATTTCCTTTTTCGTTTTTTTATTGTAAGAAATATTCATCTGGAAGTCATTGTTGATGACTTATTCCATTTATCAAACCATTTTTCAAATGCTTATTTCATCATAATCATTACCTAGACATTGTTTACTTTCTAATTGCACTTCATTAAGTTTACTCCAATGCTGTATACTATTCTATATGAACTTTTTTATCACATCTTTTAATCTTTTGTAAAATTTCTGTGACTACTCAAAAAAGTAGACCTAACATTTGTTTCCATTCTTCAATGAAAGTTTAGGACATATGTATTATGGTTCCAATTATTCCCCCATTATAGTCCTACAACACATCTTATCTCGTCTTCAGAATATCAATAAAATGGAAATGTCTAAAGGACTTGCTCCTTTAAATACTCTAATATTGAATTATGAATGACATCTTCTCACTTATGTGCAGATAAAATTTTACTCTCTGGGAAGCAAGATACCAAATTTACATGATGATTTGAAAAAGAATTGCAGTGAACTTAGGATATTACAAGGAATTAAGAGATTATCCATGATTGTTGAAACTCGAGTAAGACTTCGTCATACTTCATGTACCATTTATGTCAAAGCCATATTAATTTCTCTTTCATAGTTCAATTTACTGAAATAAAATATATTATACATGCATGTTTTTATTCTAGATGACAATCATACAAGAAATATTCACTTTTAAGAACTTTTCTTAATGTACTACTGAATCCTAGACCAACTTTCAATTGTAAATGTATAAAAACTACAAAATTTGTAGTTGAAAAGACATTCTCATGGTACCTTAACAAACCATGTCATTTGCATATGAAAAACAATTTGTTTGTCATTCGTCAGTTCATTATCCCTAATATTAACTAAAATAATTGATGCTCATTTTGATTTCTTCATTTTGCTACTCTTGTTTTACTCATTATAGTTGTCACGCATTTTTGTAAAATCAAATGCCCAAGAGAACTAAAAGAAAAATGTTGCATTACTTATTTTCTTCATCGCTATTTACCTATGAAAGAAGAAGTTCGATTGTTTAGAGAACTTCTTGCTCTCATGATCTTATTCTTTCACCTTTGGCACTCGCGTACTTTTCTGGTTATCAGATACCACATCTACAAAATAGTGATCTTTGCATTAGGATTCTTCAAACTTCTTTATCAGCCTTGAGTAAGGAGTTCAAGGGGGAGGACTTAGATTGGTAAACTGAATCACGACTGGATTTGTGTTCTATTTGTTAAAGTCTACTTGGGGATGCAGTGGTTGCACTGCAACAGGCAGTGGTGGATGATGATGGATTCATTTCAAAGCATACAAATATGAAGTATAAGCTTAGAGATACTTTTGGTTACGGTTGGCAACGGTTCGGTTATGGGTCAGTTCGGCCAAAATCATAACCGCACCACCAATTTTTTGACCATACCATAACCGCACCATAATCACGTAAATCGGTTCGGTTCGTATCTCGGTTCGGCACGGTTCGGTTCGGTTAATAACCACGAAAATAAATTATTTTTCATAAGTTCATCTGTCAAATTGATATAAAATAATTTATGAAAAAGTCAATGAAAACAAAAACACAATATTCCAAACGAAAATGCAAATATTATCCAAATTTTCAATTGAAAAATACAAATTTAACAAACAATCTTATAAATATAACAATACTAAATTCTTCCTTCATTCTTAATTGTTGTGCATTGAAATTACTTGATTCATTCTTTCTCACAAGTCTTACTAGTATAGATCAACACTCAAAGTTGATTCATATATAGTAAATAAGAAATGTAAGTAGAAAATACATTGATACTACCTATTCCAGAATGGTCTTAACTAAGATTTAAATAAAAAAAATGTACCTCTTCGTCAGCTTCCTTCTCGCTAAACGTTGCACAAGCTCTAGAGTATGATGAAGAAGTAGAATTTTCTACATACAATAGAAAAAAATTAACAATAAAAGGAGCCGTGCGTGAGTTTGTGGTCTGTGGGGAGTAGGGTTTGCATTTATACATTGTCATACTAATGCTATTATTATGGGTTAATGGTAAGTGGGTTGGCCGGCCGAGTCATGTAGATGTAATAGGGGGATTTTGTTTTAGGCTAGATAGAAAAGTAGTGTAAAACTCAATAATCAATTCAATTTTTTTTTTTTTTTTATTTTAGCGGGTAATCGGTTCGGTTTAGGTTCGACGGCGTAAATACCATACCCCGCACCGCCACAAATCGGTTCATAAAAATAAAAATTATACCCGTCCCATTGTACTATCGGTTCGGTTTTTTTCGCCCCATTCGGTTCGGTTAACAACAGTTTTCGATTTTGACGGTTTAAATTGCTATACCTACTTTTGGTAGGCTCTATGTGTTAAGTATATTAAACATTAAGAAGCGTAAAAATAAATTTTATTAATTCTAAGCTTGTGAGCTCTAATTAAATAATAAAGTGCTCATTTCCAGCTGACATAATTTTACACTGAGACGTTCTCATTTTTAGTGTTTGGTATGTATAGTTCTGTTTTATCTTAAAATTATGAATTCAAGATGTGCTTGTGTTCAAAACACACATCTTCACTTGAGGCTAAAAAGGTAGATACCTCAATTTCCGTACTAACTCGCGTAATTAGTCCACTAGCAGCCCATATTCAGGAATATGGACCTTACCATCAGAGGAATATAAAGAAAAAGTGTTTTTTACCTTATGCTACACACAACTGTGCTCGCAAAGTAATTAATAAAATACAATTGAACATACTACACGTTTCGTTTAAGAAATAAACTACCTTTATTGAACCATTGTACATATCTCTCATTAATAGTTAACATTAAAAACGCTAACATTACTTTAAAAAATAAAACAACCCGTGCATTGCACGGGCAAAAAACTAGTATAAAATATAATTGCATACGTTATATGAACTTAAGTATTGATGAATTATTTTTATTCTACCTCATATAAATTGAATAACTAAGTTGGGGAAAAAATTTACATCTTTAGTGCACCTTAAGAACAGTTTTTTTTTCTTTTTTAAGTATGGTGTAAAAAAAGGGGGTTAAACCCTCATTTGATGGGGGGTTAAAATCAATATTATAAATTAATTTCAACTATATATTTCATGAAATTTACAATTTTTTCACCATACATGTTATCAAAATATTCTGAAAAACCTATTTTAATTCCCACAAAACAAGGGCTAAAAAAATATGGTACTAAAATAAAGTAATTACGTGTAACTAATAGTATCACGTGTGAACCCATATTCTAAAAATTCAGTTTTATTCAAACTCATTTACAATAACGCATTCTTCTAATAAAATGATTTTGCACGTAAATTTTTTTTCTTTACCACTTCCTCAAAATTTTGCCACTTCGAAAATCTTTTTTTATAAAAATAGGGCATCCTAACACTCCAAATATGTTAAGATTCCTAACATCAGCAAAATTTGAATTCAACACCAAATATTTTACAATAACATACTCCGGATCCCACCTATGCAACTTTGAAAGTACACACTACAAATTATTCTATGCACAATTTCTATTTTGTGGCCAGCAATAACTAATGTCACGTCAGCTTTTTTAAATCCCTTGTTTTCTCCTTGTTTTTTGCCCTATTTGACTAGCTTTATTGTTTTCTTTATAAATAAGGTTCCTTACACCGCACCCATGCGGCCAACACCTTCCCTCCATTATCAATGGTAGTATCTGTTGATGCTAATTTCACCTACAATTGAACAAATTAAAATGTGTGTTATGGAATTAACATAAAAAATGGGAAAAAGAAATCAAAACTAAATTTGAAGAATGAAGAATGATAATTTCCCCTTTTTAATTCGGCTCAAAAAATCAATCCAACACCACAAAGACAACACCAATTGGAAACTTTTTCAATCATAGGGAGAAGTACACAAGGCAGAAGCTAGTTTTCAGAAATGCACAAAGCAGAGGCGGGTTTTTTGGTGTGTTGAAAGTGATGCTAAAAAACTCCAATTTATAGGGAAAGGAACAACAGATTTCCTAGAAAAAATCAGTTAGATAGACTTTAAGAAAATTGAAAATGGTTACCAAGCATAAGGGTAGTATAACCATTACAAACATCTCACGTGATTTGAAATTATCTCCGAAGTTGGGTATTGAACATGTAGTCCATTGGACTGATTTCCTCTAAAGATTCAACACAATTGATCAATTGTGGTGTGAATTTATAATATTTTTCAATTTTGAGCTTATAGCCTATGAAGAAGAACGAGTATCGATTTTTCATCATTAATTACGGGTTATTTGGTTATGACTTACTACAATACCTGACAGAAGCCCTCTTCTCCCCTCTGAGCTCCACTTATTTCCCGCCTCACCTTCTTTTCTTCCACCAAAAATCCATCCCTTTTCTACTGCTAGAACCATGTCATCGACTCCTCCCCTCCAGTTTTTCTGCATCCTCAATCGCTCCAAACAAAAAAGTTAAATCTTTTACAGTATCGAGCTCAATTAATCAAAACACCCACGAACTTTGTTCCCTGGCGGTTACAAGGAACCTGAGATCAAGGTTCCGAATCTCGTGCCCAGTTGAGCTCCGAGGAGGTTTTACGGGACAACAATAATGTTCTTGATGTAATTGACGATGCAGTATCGGATAGAGTTGGAATTGTGGTGCTCAATGGCGGTGGAGCAAGTGGCTAAAAGCTATACGAGGCTGCGTGTTTACTGAACTCGGTGATCAGGGATCGCGCATACTTGTTAATTGACGAGCGCATTGACATTGCAGCTGCTGTTAATGCCACCGGAGTCTTGCTTTCTGATTAAGGTTATCTTTTTGGCCGGATTGCTTAATAGGTTCTTAGATGTATTACAGTTTTACTGGATCCATATTGGATTTATCATTATAATAATGGCGTTTCAGATTTCCGAGTGCTAACAGATCCAGTAGTTGGATTTGCATTTTGATTCTTAACACGTGCAAGTTCAATAATCTAGTAATAGATAACTTGGTGCTTAAATAATTTAAGGTGCATGATTGTTGGAAGGCCAAGTTATGATTGGATTTGTGAACCTTTGAAATTTTAGTTCGCGACATTGGACGCTATCATTTCGAAAGCCTCCAAATATTCTGATTTTGTACTGTACTTTGTTTTGTTGTGATTACATTTCAAAAGACGAGCATGGTGGCCTCCTTGTGGTGTTTGAATCTTTGAAATGGAGGAGATTATGAAATGAAACTCAATCTAAATCATATGTGCTGTAAATCAACGATGTTTCAAATTAGAGTTGGAGATTATGAGAACTATAATAGTGCGGGAATTCAACTGTTTTTTTATGCAATTTCTATTGAGTTTTTTGTATAATCAGGTGGAGGAAAAAAATTTTGATAATCCATTTTACATTTCTAACAGGCTGACACTCGTAGAACACATGGCAGATTTGATATCTCCTTCGTAGTTTCTTGTTTTTCCCATGTTTCCTGGGCTTGTTTTCTATGAGTTCAGTTTGATTGAGCTGACCATAGAACAAAATATCTTCAGTCGATAAATCATAATAATTGCATGTTGCATTTTATGTATTGGATATATGAGGATTTATCATGGAAAATTTGAATACTCATGTGGAAACTACTTTATACATAAGTTTTCTATTAGTATAAATGCCACAATTCATGTGGCTCTTTGATAATCCATTCTGCAGTCCTACCATGTCCGACACTTGTAGAACATAAGGCAGCTATGATATCATTTTCACAGTGTCTTGGTCTACCTGTATTTCCTGGGTTTCGCTTTCTATGAGTTCAGTTTGATTGAACTGACTGTCCACCCAAACCGAAAGACTTTATCAGTACATGGATATGGTATCCCCCTATTTTTTTCTTATGTTTCTTGCTCGCTACCCTTGCGTTGTGATGTCAAGGGGAAAAAGAAGAGTCTCCAGTTGAAAGTCTGGTCTGTTGGTCGGTTTCTTTTCCGAATAAATATATAATCTAGCCGAGTCTATAGAATAAAATTACTAACTTAAAAAAAAAGAAAAAATGTCACTGAATAACTAATGAAGCAACTTAATTTCCTCCAAATAAACCAAACTTCAGACCTAATCTCAAAGATATTTACAGTTTAATGGAATCTTGAAATGACGAGTATTAGGCACATGATGGTTTCCCTGATGATTGATGCCTGACCGCATTTAGACTTTTTGAATTTTTGTATCCACTTAGTAATGTCTTGGTGAAGGGAGAGAACCCCAAATCAGAATTGCATATATGGGAAAATGCTTAAAAGACACGAAGAGATAAGATGACTATCATGGTTTCAGACCTAGGAAGTAGGTACATATTCTTTTTTAACAGTATATTTGGTGTTGTTAAACATCTTACTTTCTACCTTGTTCATAGCTAGGATAGCACATCTCTTATTTGCTTGCGATAAGATTCCGATTCGATTAGTTGATTTATTTTACCTCACCATTTAATTTTGTATCTGGATTTTCCACTTCAAAAGCTTAACCCACGTACTTGTAAACTTTTCAAAGTGTATTGTTAGTCACTTAGTCTGCAAAAGAACTAACAAGAGATTCCTGTTTTTCTTAACATCACCAGGGAGAGTTCAATTCTGGCAAATCAAGTGTCATTAATTCTTTTCTGGGGCAAAGATACTTGAAGGATGGAGTTGTTCCTACTACTAATGAGATCACCTTTCATTACCTTTCAAAAAAAAAAACTAATGAGATCACCTTTCTATGCTATTCTGAGTTGGATTATAATGTTTAGCATTGTGAAAGGCACCCTGATGGTAAATATATATGCTATTTACCTGCTCCAGTTCATAAAGAAGTGAGTTTCTTCTACATTTTCTGCCCTCTTCTTCTTGGACAAGAATGCATTCCTAATACTGAAAGACATTTTTTTTCCTCGTTGAAGGAATATTACTCTGTGTCATGATGAATAGTTAAATTTCTCCCCATTCTCTGCTCCTTCCAGTGGTCTGGGACAGTATGAACAATCTTTGAATACATCATATAAGTGGAAGAAAGGTGATCACTTTTCTACAACTAATGAGATTTCTTTTGCCAAACAGCTTCTTTCTGCTACTCCGAAGCTTATTAGTGAAGAATGCCAGCAAGCAAGAAAAGACTCGGTGAATGATCTTATAAGTAGCATGAAATAGTATGTATGGAAAATGGAAAGCGAAGCATTTCTTGGAAGAGACAAATTTTGTCTCTGGTAATTATATGTGTACCTGTACCTTGATCTATCTATTGTATGGTTTTATATATGATCAGAATTGATTTAGACAATTGTTGTTTGTACCAAAAAATGTAGATTAATAACACCCAAGCACGTATCATCAAGCTCGCAGAATCAACCCTGCTACTATCGAATCTCGACCTTGTGACTTCAAATGTTTTTAAGGGAGATAAATCTGTCCCTATGCCAGTGACCTCAGGTCTTAGAAATGATGCAATTGACCCTGCCATTTCAGAAGCAAATGTGAGTGCTGCAATCCCCATTCTTTATTCTCAAGGCCTGGAATGTTCTTAGGAATTTGCTCTGCTGGTGGGTAATCAGCCTCTTTTTGATATTTGAGTGGAGAAGCAACATATATAGAGAAACTTTGTGCAAATTCTCTTCATAAAGGTACACCCTTCTATAGTCTCCTAAGAGGAGTAGAGTTAGACTTAAATTAGTAGCCTACGTTACCGTAAGAAGAAAAAACAATAACCATAGGTTTATTGTCCTTCCAACTGAATCTTACATTTCCCCTAAGGCGCATGTTCGGTTTCTGTCTATTGATGGGTTATTGAGTGATTCTAATTCATTTTTTTATATTGGTGGGAATTTACACTGGTAGTTGATGGCTTGTGTTCATGTTCATCACTCCTAGCCTTTTGTTGAGGTTTAAATACTGATTGATACAATGTATCTGCGATAGGTTGCCGGCAGTCTCAAATTTCCCCGTCTGAAGGCAAAATGGGATAGATAAATTTAGACGAACTGCAGATGCCTTGGCTCGTCAGCTTGAAGAAGCAATGCAAAAGGAGTTTTCGGAGACCACTGAAAATCTAAACAAGTTTGCAGACTTTGCTGGCAAACCATGTCAAGATATGGCACAGAAACGAGTTTATAAACTTACTTAACACTCTTAGCAACTATCGAGGAAAAAACTCAAATCGAAATCCAAAATCTACATGTATCAAGGTAGCAATGGACCTTTATCTACTCACACTATGGATCATAAGGGAAGTCAAATATTGTAGCATTTGTTACTGTGATGGAAAAATTATTTATTTTAATTATATTTTTTATCATTTTACATTTTTAAGGTGTTTACATTGTAGAAACACAATTCTTACAATTGATGGGGGCAGATTATAGAAATGAAACTATCAATAACTGCTTTTGTTCAAGTTACAAATTAAAAAGAAATTTATAAGTACATTCTTTGAATGTAAGATCAGTACCAAACAAATTTATAATCATCTTTAAAAACTCTAAATTAAATGTAATTAAGCTCTAAATCGAGAATTGTATCATTGAACTACCCGAATTTTCACATATTGGTTGGTCTGGAAAGTCACTGAAGAGGTAGACCAAGCATAGAACATTATGAATCGCGTGAAGAGGGTGGTGCAGAAGGAAGCTTACAATTTTTTTTAGTGTGAGGTGGGCCCGAGAGTTGAACCACAGCCGGCTGTTTGGAGACTGTGATTTGTGGGAGAGTTATTGTCTATCATCGACAATTAAAAGTTTAGGTATCCGTAAAGAAAGGGGACAATCACTCGACATTCATTTACACGAATGATATATTTGACAAAGTTGATTGTACCGTACTAAGTAATATAAATCTATATATAATCATTTAATTATATTATTAATCGGGTTAATATAATGTACATCTAACGCACGGAGATTCCCCTAAAAAGGTTTGTCTTGTGCTTTATTTTTTATTGGCCGTCAATAAAGTTTCTTGTGGGCTACAACCCCTAATTAAAATTAACATTTAATCAGCCATTAAAATCCTGACATTTCAATTTGAATTTTTCTTTGTCCCTTTTTTCTGTTCAAACTTGGAACAAAAAGGTTTGGTCAAAAAGGATTATCTTTCTAATTAAAGCATTAAACCATTGTTATATAATAATAACATAAACTTTAGATTATATTTTGTCCATGAAAGGTGGTCTGGAACAGATTCTATTAGCTTCAAAAGGCTTAATTCTGCGGGAAAATTTATAGGGAGCCCCTATTTAGTTCAGATAAAAATAATTTTTTTAGTAAATTTTGATAAAAGTTAATGAATTATCTGATTAAAATGTTGCCGAATCCATGAAATGTGTTGTTATAATTAATTATTGACTTTGACTTAAATTTTAATGCACTTTTTAAATTGTACCAAAATGGGCTAAAATTATGAACTCAATGGAGTATAGAAAAATGATTCCAGTCGACTGTATATGATCAAGAATAAGAAATAAATGGTTTTTGTATGTGCAAGTGAATTTATGCTCGGAATCAGTGTGTTTAATGTTTACGTTAATAGCCATTAGATTTCGATCTTCGTTGAATTGTGATCGTGCTATATAAAAAGCGATAATATATAATGATTCATGGCATTTATTTCATTATGCATATCAAAATGACACTCGTGAAATTCTATCGCTAATGTTCATTTTCATAAATGAATAACGACGAGATTTTATTGTACGAAACCATATTAACCCATCTCGCTGAGATGTTAAAAGAGAGAAATCATCCTGTAAAAGGGGTTTAATTCGTTTTTTTCTCCATACGCTTTGAATAAAGTTTACATTGGATTTACTTGCAATCATGAAGAAAGCGATTCTTTATCTTTCAATAATTATGATAGACATTATGCATAAGAGGCCAATGCACAAAAGATAAGTAATCACCATGTACCAACATATTTGGAAAATATTAATCCTAATGTATAATCCGACGTGACATCCTTTTGAGTGCCAATGTCAACTAAACCCGTCAATTACATTGTTTGCACCAAAATCCCAATTGTTGAATAAAATTTGCAAATTCACACGTTAATTAAACACAACCTTAATCCACAGTAAAATCAGTCACTTAGGTGAAATTCTAAGCTTTTGGAAGGAATTTTGCATGCAATTTATCCAAGAAATCTAAATTGCAAATTTTGGGAGATAACATATGCAACATCAAATAATACGTTCATTTTAGTACCCAGTGAGCAACTGTGAAACAATTACTAATTTTAGTGACCAATAGAATAAGAAAAAAACTTTAACGACCAATTTGAAATTTTACACGAACCTCAGTGACCATTTGTAAAAAACATGAAAATTTATTCTTATGATGGACCCCGTTTGGAGGTCATTTAAGCCCTTGTTTGAGCCCCATTTTTCAACCAAAATATATTTTTTAACAATAATTTGATATCATTTCAACCACACTTTTTTTAATAAAATAATATTATACGCAAATCAAAAATTTTTTCTTATTTTTTAACCACACATTTCTTATCAATACACTATTCAAAAATTTATTTTCTTTACAAAAATGGGGTTCAAACATGGGCTTAGCCCCTATTTGATTCCCATTAAATTAAATTACATTACACTTCATTTTTCTCTCTTCTATTTTCAATCACACAATTTTTCATAAAATAACATTACACGTGAATCGAAAATTTTTCCTTCTTTGTGAACCATTTATTTTTCAAGAAAAAACATTATTCCACCCATTTTTACTTCAAAAAATGAGTACCAAAGTCTTTAGCTAGACTTTGCAAAATGATGACTTAGGATCGATAAGATGGACAATTGACTTCTCATTTGCAAAATCACATTTGATTATGGTTTCAACCATTGTTCGTTGGCTTTGGAAGTCCATCTTCTTTCTCTGC